TTATATCTCATTTGTTGTATATTACCAATTAATGTAGCTTTGACAATCAAGCAGAACCAGTGGAGAAGGCATCTTGGTGGTACGGCATTTGAAACCTGTCTTTTTAACTGTGCATGTGTCCAGGGCATTTTAAACTGTCATATTAAGGTTCTGGGCCATTAAAAAGCAGCACAATTTAACTTTTGCTGATAGCTTATAACCCAGACACTGCAAACAGCCACAAACTGTTGAGCTTGAAAGCCTGGAGTCACAACAGGATTTGTGTGCAAAGTAATTACAAATGCACATTCCTACCACATGCAGCAGGATTTATCCTACAGACTCATGTTGCTGAGGAATTCAGCTAAGCTTCAAAGACCCTCAGGTAGGAAAAAGGCATCTGGGGTCAGGAAAATATAACACTACTAGCCCGCCCCCAGCCTACATTAAAAAAAACCCTGCAAAAAAGGACATTAGTAAGCATCCAGGTTACACAGCTGTTTTGCCCTTTGGAGACATCTTTCAGACTGTATGAAGTTTATGGCAGATCTTCGTAAAAAGACAATTGTAAATATTTAATCTGTTTAATAGAACATAGCCAATGTAGAGACAGTTTGGTGCAGAAGACTAGGACTGGGGTAATGCAGTCAGATCCCTTCCTACCCATGAAGCTCAGAGCCACTCATTGGGTTGCATCCTAACTTATCTCACAGGACTGTGGTGGGGATTAAACTGGTGAAAGAGAGTCATGTACATGGCCTTGAGCTCTTTTGAGGAAAAGGTAGGATATATCCTAAAAGGTAGGATATAAAATACCTAAAACACTGGCAAAAGGACTGGATTACTCAGTACCAACAAACTTGTTCACCAAATATTAGTACCTTTCTGCAAAAGATCTTGAAACTAGCACCATTAATTCTACCATTACTATTAATGAAGAATTTAATTTTTACCATTTGAACTTACGCAGTTCATGCTGTGGAATCCATTGCAAACTTGAACACCATCTATAGTTGAATTCATTTCCAAGTTTGCAGCAAAATTTGCAGAACTAACTAAATTTGTTTATTTATACTTTCATTTATATGCTGCCCTACCATAGTCTCAAGATGGCTAAATGAATGAAGTGCAACTGAAAAATGCATGTTTTGAAAAACATGCTCAAATAAATGTGCTTTAATCAATGCGAAGAAAGTGTTTTCAAATAGTGTACACAGTTGATGTATAAATTTGAAAAATGAGAATGAAAATCTGCATGAATGTTCATGCAAACAGAACTGTAAGTTTTATAATAATGAGCTTGCATTTTGCTGATTCTCATATCCCTATCTATCTAGCAGTTCACAAGATGTGATGAAGACTGTAGCAATACCGCAGACCCTGTGCTTTCTAAAAGTGCTTGATTGCAGTGAGTGATAATTTGTCAATTTGGCAATATTTAGTGAATGGGCAAGACAGGAATACTAAAAGAAAAAAAAACAATGCAACAAATAATGATAATTTTGCCACCTCACCCCCACCCCAATGATGCCTTTGCTGTTTTGACAAATTCAACAAGCATAGCTTTACCAAACAAGGCAATGTATTAATGAAATAAACTTTCCCTGCTAAATTCCTGTCTAATCAGCGGCTGGTATAGACAGGTTGGTATTTTTCTGCAGTAATAAGAGTGATTCTCACATATCACTACTATAATTTTCCACATTCGATATCTATGTCACTGGTTCTAGCACCTTCCACTCCAGTTTCCATCAGTCCTTTACCCACCATCCTTTTCAGCCTGCTATGGGGAAATGCATGTTCCTGCTGGTGATAGCAGATAGGTGGATGAAAATTGCATTGGAACCAGAGAAATCAGGTCCCATTGATTTGAGAGGCAGGGCCAAATATGTGCATGCATCTTTCCCATTGAAACTCAAAGGGTTTGGCTTTGATTGGATTGTGCTCCCTTTTGGAGTTCCCATAGGAATTAGTCCCATCAATTATAACTAACTGGAATTATATATTTTTGTGCTGCCAAGGAGCAGGATGGAAAGTTTAGATTTTGCTGTCGTGTTCATTTTCCCAGTGTATTTTGAAGCATAGGTGCCTTCACTAAGCACATACCTTACAGTCTCTCAGCTCTTAATAACTGAATAACTATGAAATGTTTCTACCAGCAAGTGTTCACAATGAAAAAAGAGAAGTCCTCACAAGTGTAACCCAATCTTCTAATTATTTATCCAAAAGTCAGCCTGTGTGCTGATTGCCTCAGCTGATTTATTTCTTGACAAGGAGTGTTTGTACAATGACGCCAACAAGAAATATGAGAAGAAAGGAAACCCCTTAGGGAGGGTTTGAAGAGTTCATTTACAGCTACATCTACTGAATAGGGAATTGTGGATGGACACAGGGAAAAAACTCTGAATATGAGAATTACACAGAATCATACAAATCCTGAGCACATTTTCTTGAGGACGGATTGATTCACACAATGAAACCATTCCTTTAACAGTCATTTGAAGGAGCCAAACCGATGTTTATTTCTCTAGCCATTATGTTCTTACCAGACTAGATTTTTGTACAGGTGCTGGGAAGAACTAGTAATTTAAAGCTACTCTGATGAGAATTACTACCATTTTTTTCCAGATAGAAGCTCTATCTAGCCAGAAGCTCTGTACATTTAACAACTTGAATTCCAGGAAGACAGCCAACTAAAATGTTTGCCATTCCATGCAAAGGAAAATTGACTCGTTAAATACTGACCTATCAGTAAACTTTGAAAGATGGAAAGGGCATTCCCACAAAAAAGAGACAATCCTATGGGTGAAGCAATTATGGTCTTAGCAATAAACATTATGAAATCCACATTTATTCCAGTTGTATAAAAATGACAATTTTAATTTAACTTTTTTTTGCCACAGCACCTTTCTTTAAGAACAGTCTAATTTCCAGGTTCCATGCCTTTGTCAGAAGGGTGAGAGATTTTTTAATTAATGCGGTATTGCTTTGTCAAAAAGAAACTGAAATGTATTAGTTATTTGATGAGACCATGATCTAGCCAAAGTTGAGCACTTTTAAACTTTGCTTTCAATAGGATGGTTAAACTAAAACCAATGATAATTAAAATGCTTAGTTTTGGCTGAATTGTGTCCTTTCTTTGGCTTAGTGTAATAACACATAGGTACCAGCTTTTAAGCATTGGCAACAGGGAATTTTTAATTGGCATATGAAGCATGTTCTGTGTCCATAGCATAGAGAGAAAAGCATTAGAAATAAGGCAGGTGCACATAAACAAAAACAAGGCTTTTTTTCAAGGCCTTGAATTGTGGAATATTCTAACTGAGGTGGTCTGTCAGGTAGACAGGACAGGAATTTAAGAAGCACCTATTCATCCAGCCTTTGAGGTTTTGTGGTGGATGCATTGGAATTTTAGTTTTATTAACCTATGCTGCTTTTGAACACTAGTATTCTTTTATTTCTGTTTTAACTGAGATTTCATTCATTTCTTTTAAAAAGTTATCAGATTATAACGATGATGATTACATTTAAATCCTTGCCTAATTTGGTCAGATGGAGAACTAGAACCCAGATCTTCCACAGACTTGCATTACTTAGTTACTTTTAACAAGATAGTTGCAAAGCAGGTTTGAACACATAAATATAGTCATGGTCAAAATATTTGTCATGGTCTGATCTTCTGCAGCAGGTGATCTAGGAGACTGACAGAAACTATCTAGTCCAGTTGTATCGTTTCCAGGAGTTCACCTGCCTGATGAAAAAGCCTTCTTGCCCTAGACCAGGGGTCGGCAACCTTTAACACTCAAAGAGCCATTTGGACCCATTTCCCACAGAAAAGAAAACACCGGGAGCCGCAAAACCCTTTTGACATTTAAATGAAGATAACGCTGCATATATAGTTTTTTTTTACCTTTATGCTATGTGTAAAAAAAAAAAAACTATAGTGTGTTGCATTTATGAAATCAATGAACTGCTACAGAGAAAACAAAGCTTTATTTCTGATGAAGTAATAAAATGAAGGAGAAGGAGATTACATTGGGACAAAGATAATCTTTTCAGCAGCGGTCCATGTAACAGGAGAGCCTGCAGGAAACTCGTTTAGCAGAGGAATGTAGCGATTTACTTAACCAGCTGATTTATTTAACTAGCTAGCACTGTGTTCCTGAGTGGAGCTTTGAGCGGATCAGCGGCTGTGCATGTTTTGAGCGACGGAGCCGCAGCAGAGGCGTTCAAGAGCCACGTGCGGCTCCAGAATCGTGGGTTGCTGACCCCTGCCCTAGACCACTGGCCTTCCATACACTGGCCTCACTTTAAGGACCCTCCATACCATGCTTGCCTATCATTAATTTAGGATCTTTGCTGGGTTGCACAAGATGAAATCTTTCAGAACAGCATACATAAATTTTAATAAGAAGTGACTTGAAAAGGCATGTGATACTTTTTAAAAGTTGCACTCATTGGAAATGGCTGCAGTGGCCCCCATGTTAGTGGCAGCACCATTCTAAAGTTTCTTCATGTGCTTGTGCACCCAAGCATCTAATTGTGTGACCTGAAGTTTACATTTGCACTGAGTGTTTGTAATGGGCCATAATTAGTATTACAGTATGGCAGGGAGGAAAATGCTGCTGAAATGGTGGCTAAGAGGTTTTTCTTTATCTTTCTGTTTTCTGGCTGTTTATTTTTGCACCCATACACAAAAGTATTATCCTTGTAAATTTATATTGTAAGACATTCAGACTTATGTGCAGTTGGCTCCCAGGCGAGCTTCAGATCAAGTTGGGAGAAAGTTGTGTAATTTAATAAATATACAAATAACAGGTGCATGTCCAATTATAGATCATATTAAACTTTTCTTAGTCCATTGTGAAACTTTTGCTTTGTTTCAGAGTCTGGTTTGTACCCTTTGGCATCAGCAGTCAATGCTTCTGTTATTTCCCTGTGCTGTTCAAGCTATTTTACCATATGATGGCATTATTTATGGTTACATTCTGACAGGGAGAACATTTCCTTGTTTTTTCCAGACTGATGTACTGCCTTGTCTCTCAGAAATGCAGCTTAATGCCCTTCTGGAAAAATGTGTGCCATCCCCAAGAAGTGTAAACAGCCTTGTCCTGACAAAATCTCAAGGATCTTGTTTTGAGAGAATAAACCTTTCTGGGGACTCACTGGAGAACACAATTCCATTCTTCAGGAATGAACCATTAGATGATGTCCAAAGTGTGAGAATGCCAGCTGAGCAAGAAATGGATGGAGCTGAAGATGATAATATGTTCTCAAAGGAAGTGATGGTACCCCCTGACTGTAATGTTATCAAGGCATTGGTTGAATCTCACCTTTCAGAGAAAAAGGAAAGTGATAACCAAGAGGAGATGCCATGTACTAGTAGCTCTGAAAGCTACTTCATGTCAATGGCCCTCTGCACAGACAGGCCAAGAAAGCCTTCCTTTCTTGATGAACCTTTTTATTGTATCAGCATGAACAATGAGCTATCCACAGATGTCGACATTCCTGGCATACCACTGAAAACCAGAGGAGGTGAGGTTCTTAATAAACCTTTGGAATAAGCTTCTGATTATCTTTTTAAAAAGCAAGCAGGTTCTCACCAAAGGTATGCACTAATGTATTATAATTAAACTGGAAGAACCAAACAAAAAATCCCTTTCATAAGACACAAAACAATGCCAGAAATAACACAAAATTTCAAAATATTTTCTGACATTCTTGAACTGACATAAATAGTTGTGGGATTAGTTCTCTTAGAAAATGTAATAAAATAATGATTGATCATGTCAGCTAGCAAAAAGTTGGACACACAAACATGAATTGTCTCTCAAATAATAGACAAACTTAACCCTTGTGTTCTTGGTGTCAAGAAATTTACAAAAATTGTTCCAGAAAGGATAACTGCTTGCATTTCTTTGACATAAAGCCAGTATGATATAGTGGTTAAGGGCATGGGACTGGGACTCAGACGATCTGGGTTCTAGTCCCTGCTCAGCCATGGAGCCAACTGGGTGACTTTGGGCCAGTCACATACTCTCAGCCCAAACTACTTCACAGGGTTGTTGTGGGGATAAGATGGAGGAGGAGATGCAAGCTGCCTTGAGCCCTTTGTAGGAAAAAGGCAGGATATAAATAAATAAATTCTAAATTAAGAAAAGAGAAAGTAGATCACATTAAAAGCTCATTTTCTGTTAGCATTTAAGATTATGAAGTTGACACTCTGTTTTGAGCCTACTGCTATAATAAGCAAGATTCTACCTGCCCTGGAAGCCCTGCAGCTAATGGTGTTGGCTAACAATCTAATAAATAAATAAATCCTTCAGAAGTCAATTTATGTATATTTGTTGGTTGTTAATCTCCTCTAGGTGTGCCAATGCTTTTGGAGCCCTCGGCAGGGCTTCTGACTTTTCTCTTTGAATAGTATCCTCCCATGCTGCAACATGTTTTCAGAGCATAAGCTTCAATAAGAAGTATATCGGAATGGGAAGTGTCAGGAGCCTATATAAATGTGAAGCTCAAACAGCTAGCCAGGAGCAATTTTGAAGTAGATGATAGTAAGTAATCTGAAGCATAATCCAAACAAGATGGGCATAGGTGCAATCCCAGGCCAATGTAGACAGAAAAAGCCCTATAACTCTTGGTGTGTTCTAGCCAGCATATCTGTGAGTCGTAACCCTTTTTATTGGTGTGGTTTGAATGGCTTGGTCTGGGTTTTTGTTTTTTGCTTTCTTTGTTTTTGTTTTTTCAAGCCAGTGTAGCATAGTAGTTAGAATGTTGGACTATGACTTGAGAGACCAGAACATGTAATCCTCATAATATTTCGACCACAGACACAGAGTTAAAGCCAAATTAGATGTTCCAGTAAATGCATGGCTGCTGTTGAAAATGCATGTCTAATTCCTTTTCCCACTCTGTCTCCACATTGTCCAGTAATGCCTGGACTGATGCAGTCCAGATGTTTTGACTTGCAATTCCCAGCAGTCCAAGCCAGCATGGTGAATGGCATGAAATGTTAGGAATTGCCATCCAACACATTGTTGGGGGGGGGGGACTAGAGGCAGAATTCCAGAGTTCCATTGCACACGCAGAACCACCATTTATGCAAGAGAGATTTGGGGCTACTTACAGGAAGCCCCGATATGAGCGGAAACACTTGTTTCTGGAAGGAGGCGGATTAGAGGAGCTCCCTTATGGGAGCTCTGCTAACCTGCTTCCTTCCAGAAAGAAGTGCTTCAGTCCATTCTGATTTGCTGTGGAAGTGCTACATCATCATTGCACAAGTGGCAGGGGCACTTCTGTGAATATGGAAGAAGTGGTAGACAAATTATTTGTTATCGGCAGCTGGACAGCCATCTGTTGGGGATGCTTTAGCATGCAGCCCTGCACTGAGCAGAGGGCTGGACCCCATGGCCTTATTGGCCCCTTCCAGCTCTACAGTTCCTTGGTGCTGATTCTAGCCCACTTACTTTGGGCTTTGGTCATGCTCAGTGTTGGTGTACTGTCTTCAGCATGCTTTCCTAAATGCAGAGCAGCCCTTGGGCTGAAATGTGCCTGATTACAGCAATAACATTCAAGTGCTTTTTCATCTATAATATTGGGCCTTTTCAGTACTATAGCAGTCGTTTTATTTTTGTGCAGATGAAATGAAAGATGAAGATGTGAATGAAGAGTAGCATGCTGCCAATTTAACCATTATTTCTAAAATCTATTTCATTTGTTCTTGATTTACTTAATTAAGTTCATTAAAGAAATAATCATCCATATGTGAGCTATAAACATGGAAACACTTTGTCTCACAGTAGTTTTTGACTGATTATTTTGTTGCTGTTGGACTTCTAAATAAAGCATGCTATGTTTAGTTATTTCTGAGAATAATGTGCATATATGCTGATATTTACAAATGTAAAATATGTAGTGTTAGGCCTTTCTACCAAATTTCTAATTGTAAAATTATAAAATTGCAGAATTTATTTAATTTAAAGGCCTGCTTAGACAGAAAAAATGTCTCACAATCCCCAGCATTCCCTCACCAAGAATCCTGGGAATTGCTGTATTTTTCAGTCCAAATATACATAGAAATTTATCTTCAAAGTTTTAGGATATAAACTGCAGGAGCATGTATACTTATTTTACATCATAACACACACAGTATGGCACCAGATATTTATAAGGGCAAAAACGGTATTTTGCAGTTCTTTCTGAACAGGAGGAATGCTGAACTTGGGATAGTAACATGATAGCTGCTTTTAGTTTGAAACTTGATTTCCTTCTACTTAAAGAGATCAGGCCATATTGTATTTATACCTGTGTGCTGCTGTGTGCAGGTAATTTCTACAAAAATCTGGAGGGCCAATAAATAAAATGTAATGCAGTTGCCATGTACATTTATTACTATTACCTGAACTAATTTGTATTGGGCCTTCTTCTCCTATAGAAAAGATTTCAAAGATTGCTGAGACAGGCTCTGATCCAGACAAAGCAGAAGGGCCAGAATCCAGAAAAATGCCATGGCCAGTGGTCGCACAGATAAGTCAGTTTCGTTGAGAATCAGACAGGCCAAGTTTAATGACCATTCTAATGTGGAGGAGGACCAACCTAGCATCATTAATTTTCCATATTAGATTCTTAAACTGCCAAATAGCGGGCACTCTCTGTGAGGTTTGGTGACAATTTCAATCATTTAAAAGCATAAAATACAGTGTAAAAATTAATCGATGAACATGGCACCAAATTAAGAGGCTGAATCAGTTGAGATGCATCAGATGCTTCAAGCAGTAGGGCCGGAAACAGGAGGACCCACTTTGAAGATGTAGCTTGCTCTTTTCAGTTTCAGAGAAGAGGTACTCAGCATCTTATCTTTAAGCTGCATTTCCTTAATGGCCAGTATTCTAATTTAGCTTGTTTCTTTTGTTATTGACAAAAGTGCTCAGTTATCTGTGCTCTTCTTTGATACTACAAAGCTAGCCTAGCTGGTCAGCTTTAGCATTAAAGAATTAGAAATGCGTTCACCTGGTCTTTTGGGAAGGAAGGGGAGAAGAAACCCCAGACAGCATTCATATTTGCAGGATGTTTTAAAAGTTGCCCCAAACTGCAATCCTGTTGCAGTGTCTGTCTAAATTTGTTTTAGTTCATTTTCATAACTTATTTAATTATTTCTATAGTAACTGTACACTGCAGTCAAATAAAACAAAGAAATAAACCCTGGCTTCAGGTTTATAACCTAGCACCACAATCCAACTCCAATCATGTTAAATCCTATGCTGCTAGTTGTGCAAAGATATGGCTGGAATTCTTAAAATGCAAACCAAAATGCACATTCTATCATTTGTAAAAATGGTCTGTGTCTTGCTCAGAACTCATCAATTTATCATTGCAGCACAAAAGTCTTTTACAAAGTGGCAAAATACACAATGAAAGGGAAATAGGAAAGGATACATCAAACTGCCTTTTTGCAGTTAAGTGGAAAGAAAGATGCAACATTATTTAGCAATTATTCATCTTTTTATAATTGTATTGCACTGTACAGCAATACTTAAAATGTTAGGCCTCTGCCTGCAGTTTTGCAATTTAAAAATTACAGACAAATGAAGGAGGAAGGTAGGTGGGATTAGGAAGAAAACAAAAAGGACTATACAATATGAGTAGAGCAGGTGATATTGTCGGATATCAAGAGGGTTATGATAGATTATGCCTTATAACCACATGTGAAAAGAACACTGAAATATGAAGGTTAAAGTATAAAAGCCATTTTCATGTGCACAATCAGGATTATAAACCCTGCCTGCAGCTGTGTGGACATCATCATGAAATGAACCAAATGTTGACAGGATCTCCCCTTGAAAGAGGAACAATACCAGCACAACAAGACATGTACCATGATGTCACTCATCTGCTGACAACCAACACTGGTATCTTATCTGGCATCTGATATGTAGCCAAACACACATTTCCCCCCTTTTAACAATTTTCTCTAAAATATGAATATTGTTGCAGACTGTCCAACTGTTGCAATAATTTTTGTTCCAACCATTATATTAATGAGGCATTTGATGTTTCATTTTAAGCACATGTTTTAGGTACACATCAAGGGTCTCAATCACCCTATGTTAACAAACCAGGTCAGTGTAAGTCCCATCACCCCCCCCCCCGCCGCCTGCCACCCTGCCAGCTGTATCTCCATACTGTTCCCAGGGTCTGTCTGGACCACCCCTGCAGCTGCCCTTGGGTTAATTTCTACCACCTTCATCTCTTCCCTTTACCTTTCAGGACCTTGAACAACACCCTGCTCCTCAATCTCATTGAAATACTCAGTTTCCTCTTCTGAATTTGAATCAACAAAAGTGGCACAACCAGCTTCCTGCAGGAATGCCTGCCTGGACCCATCACCACACTTGTTGTCAACACCTCCTAGGATGGTGATACATTGCTCCTCCCATCCCTGCCCCTGCAGGCCTTCGCCAACACTGGTCCCAAGTTAGGTTCTGCTACCTTGGAGCCACAGCCAGCATACAAAGAACTGTGGAGGGCAGTCCCCAGTTGGAGCTGGAACTCTGTTTAGACA